ACCACACAAAAAAAGCCCTGGTCCAGATGGGTTCACAGCTGAATTCTACCAGACACACAAAGAGGAGCTGGTTCCATTCCTTCTGAAACTATTCCAAATAATCCAAAAAGAGGGAATCCTTCCTAAATTATTTTATGAGACCAACATTATCCTGATACCAAAACCCGGCAGACACTCAACAAGAAAAGAAAACTTCAGGCCAATATCCATGATGAACATAGATGCAAAAATCTTCAATAAAATACTGGCAAGCTGATTGCAACAGCACATCAAAAAGCTTATTCATCATGATCAAGTAGGATTCATCCCGGGGATGCAAGGCTGGTTCAACATACACAAGTCTATAAACGTAATTCACCACATAACAGAACCAAAAACAAAAACCACATGATTATCTCAATTTGACAAAATTCAACAGCGCTTTATGCCAAAAACCCTCAATAAACTCAGTATCGATGGAACATATCTCAAAGTAATAAAAGCTATTTACGACAAACCAACAGCCAATATCATACTGAATGGACAAAAACTGGAAGCATTCCCTTTGAAATCTGGCACTAAACAAGGATGCCCTCTCTCACCACTCCTATTCAATATAGTACTGGAAGTTCTAGCCAGAGCAATCAGGCAAGAAAAAGAAATAAAGGGTATTGAAATAGGAAAGGTGGAAGCCAAATTGTCTCTATTTGCAGATGACATGATAGTATACCTAGAAGACCCCATCGCCTCAGCCCAAAAACTGCTGAAACTGATAAGCAACTTCAGCAAGGTCTCAGGATATAAAATCAATGTGCAAAAATCACAAGCATTCCTCTACACCAATAACAGACTTAAAGAGAGCCAAATCAAGAATGAACTGCCATTCACAATTGCTACAAAAAGAATAAAATACCTAGGAATACAACTTACAAAGAACGTAAGGGACCTATTCAAGGAAAACTACAAACCACTGCTCAACAAAATAAGAGAGGACACAAACAGATGGAGAAACATTCCATGTTCATGGTTAGGAAGAATCAATATTGTTAAAATGGCTATACTGCCCAAAGTAATTTACAGAATCAACGTTATCCCTATCAAGCTACCATTGACTTTTTTCACAGAACTGGAAAAATCCACCATGAACTTCATATGGAACGAAAAGAGAACCCGCATAGCCACGTCAATTCTAAGCAAAAAGAACACAGCGGGGGGCATCACACTACCAAACTTCAAACTATACTACTAGGCTACAGTAATCAAAATGGCATAGTACTGGTACCAAAACAGAGATATAGACCAATGGAACAGAACAGAGGCATCAGAGGCAACACAACAAATCTACAACCATACAATCTTTGATAAACCTGACAAAAACAAGCAATGGGGAAAGGATTCCCTGTTTAATAAATGGTGTTGGGAAAACTGGCTAGGCATGTGCAGAAAGCAGAAACTGGACCCCTTCCTGACACCTTACACTAAAATTAACTCCAGATGGATTAAAGACTTAAACATAAGACCTGGCACCATAAAAACCCTAGAAGAAAATCCAGGCAAAACCATTCAGAACATAGGAGTAGGCAAGGACTTCATGACCAAAACATGAAAAGCATTGGCAACAAAAGCCAAAATAAACAAATAGGACCTAACCAAACTCCACAACTTCTGCACGGCAAAAGAAACAGTCACTAGAGTGAATCGGCAACCAACAGAATGGGAAAAAATTTTTGCAGTTTACCCATCCGACAAAGGGCTGATATCCAGAATTTACAAATAACTCAAACAGGTTTACAGGAAAAAAACAAACAAGCCCATTCAATAATGGGCAAAGGATATGAACAGACACTTTACAAAAGAAGACATACATGAGGCCAACAAACATATGAAAAAATGCTCATTGTCACTGGTCATTAGAGAGATGCAAATCAAAACCACATTGAGATACCATCTCACGCCAGTTAGAATGGCGATCATTAAACAATCTGGAGACAACAGATGCTGGAGAGGATGTGGAGAAATAGAAACACTTTTACACTGTTGGTGGGAGTATAAATTAGTTCAACCATTGTGGAAGACATTGTGGCGATTCCTCAAGGCCTTAGAAATAGAAATTCCATTTGACCCAGCAATCCCATTACTGGGTATATATCCAAAGGACTATAAATCGTTCTACTATAAGGACCCATGCACACGAATGTTCATTGCAGCACTGTTTACAATAGCAAAGACCTGGAGCCAACAAAAATGTCCATCAATGATAGACTGGACTGAAAAAATGGGGTACATATACACCATGGAATACTATTCAGCAATCAAAAACGATGAGTTTGTGTCCTTTGTAGGGACAAGGACGAATCTGGAGAACATCATCCTCAGCAAACTGACACAAGAACAGAAAATGAAATACCACATATTCTCACTCATAGGCGGGTGAGAAAAAATGAGAACACATGGACACAGGGAAGGAAGTACTACACATTGGGGTCTATTGGGGGGAATGGGGAGGGCCAGTGGGAGGAGGAGCTGGGGAGGGATAGCCTGGGGAGAAATGCTAAATGTGGGTGAAGGGCAGGAAGGCAGCAAAACAAACTGCCATGTGTGTACCTATGCAACTATTTTACAGGTTCTGCACATGTACACCAAAACCTAAAATGCAATAAGAAAGAAAAAAAAAAGAGAAAAGAAAAAAAAACATAAAAACAAAAAAAAATTGTTATTTCTGTCTTTTTAATAACAGCCATTCTGACTGGTATAGGATAATTTCTCATTGTGGTTTTTCTTTGCATTTGTTTGATGATTTAGTAATGATGAGCATTATTTTGTATGCTTATTGGACATTTGTATGTCTTCAGATATAATGATATGGATGAAAAAGAGATTGACGACTGGGCATGATGGCTCATGCCTGTAATCCCAGCACTCTTGGAGGCTGAGGCAGATAGATCACTTGAGGTCAAGAGTTCAAGACCAGCCTGGCCAACACGGTGAAACTCCGTCTCTACTAAAAATACAAAAATTAGCTGGGTGTGGTGGCACATGCCTATAATTCTAGCTATTCAGAGGGCTGACGTGGGAGGATCACTTGAACCTGAAGGGTGGAGGTTGCAGTGAGCTGAGATGGCACCACTGCCCTCCAGCCAGGGTGACAGAGTGAGACTCCATCTCAAAAGAGAGAGAGAAAGAGAAAGAGAGAGAGAGAGAGAGAGAGAGAGAGATTAAAGACATCTAGTCTAGATATCACTGTGCCAAAACTGGGAAGAGGAATAAGAAGAGAGAAAGGGAGACAGAGGGGAAGGGGGTGGGAGAGGGGAGGGGGAGGGGGGGATGGTGAGAGGGAGAGGCAGAAGAGGCACAGGCACAGAGAGAGGGGCAGGGACAGGGAGAGGGAGAAGGATGAAGACGGAGGAGGAGGAGGAGGAGAAGAAGAAGAGGAGGAAGAAGCAGAAGAAGAGGAAGAAGAAGAAGAAGAAGAAGGAGGAGGAGGAGGAGGAAGAGAAGGGGAAGGGAAGAAAGAAGAAGAGGAAGAAGAGGAAGAGGAGGAAGAAGAAGAGCAAGAAGAAGAAGGAGACGATTATTCAGAATATTTTTGAATTGAGTAGACAGCATACTCAAGAACTGACCATGATACCAGGGTAACCACTGATATTGTACAACAATGATTTAATTATGTACATGAAATAGGCCAAGCACAGAAAGAAAAATTGCTAATGGAATATAACTCATGATAATAAAGAATACATTCCTAGTTGTCAGAGTCAAAGGGGAGTGGCTGGGGGAAATAAAGAGGTTGATCGATGGGTAAAAATATAAGTTAGAAAAATATGACCTAGTGTTCAATAGAACTGTAGGATGACTATAGTTAACAATAATCTAGTAAATATTTCAAAGTAGCTAAAAAAGAATAATTCAGATGTTCCCAGCATAAAGATAAATTATGATGAATAATCCAATTACCCGGATTGAATCTTTACACATTACATGGATGTATCAAAATTTTATATGTACATCTGTTACATGTCAATAAAAAAGAAAAAAATGTCTTGAAGGACACTAATACTGAGATTAGAAACACTGATGTCTTAGATTGGGTACCCACTGGAGCAGACCCAGGAGTATACGTGGGAGGTGGTCCCAAGAACTGCTGAATGGAGCATGAAAAATGCTCCAGGAAAGGGAGGGAAGTAGATACAAGATGAGTTAATAATCAGAATACCCCTGTAGGCAGCTGGAATTAGGTCTCTCTGAGGACCTCTGAAAGGCTGGTATAACATGTTCCCCACTGGAGGAGAAATAACTAGAGCATGTGTTCACCAACCCCCACTTTGTTGAGTGCTGTCCCAAGAGGCCGTGTGTGTGTGTGTGTGTGTGTGTGTGTGTGTGTGTTTTATTATACTTTACGTTCTGGGGTACATATACAGATCTTGCAGGATTGTTGCAAAGGTATACACATGCCATGGTGGTCTGCTGGCTCCGTTCCCCCGTCACCTACATTAGGTATTTCTTTTAATGTTGTCCCTCACCAACCTCCACATGCCCCGTTATTGCTCCCCTAGCCCCCATCCCCCAACAGACCCCAATGTGTGATGTTCCCCTCCCTGCGTCCATGTGTTCTCATTGTTCAACACTCACTTATGAGTGAGAACATGTGGTGTTTGGTTTTCTGTTCTTGTGTCAGTTTGCTGAGAATGGAGGTTTCCAGATTCATCCATGTCCCTGCAAAGGACATGAACTCATCCTTTTTTATGGCTGCATAGTATTCCAAGGGACTTCAACTCTGCAGTCCAGAGCTTGCTCCTTGGCTAGAGAAACTCTGCAAGAAGAGAGTTCCAGGTGCTTGTTCTAGGAAACCACCATTGTATCTTAGAATGAAGAGTGCTGAGGAAATAGAGGTGGTGCCCCTGAAAATATGTGCTGTGGTCTTCTCCTCTGCAGAGAAGAACAACAGAAAATTGACTGGTAATGACAACACTCAAAAAAGAGAAATAATGATACACAGTATCCATATATTTCTATGCCTGAAAAGTTTATTTAAGATTTATTTAGATAAATATTTGTTTAAAAGGGAATAGCTGCATATGAGCAATTTTGGCAGATAGCAAATATTTCAATTAAGATAGTTGACAGATTTCAGCACAAATTACAACTTATGTTCATTTTGGTACAGAGGTAAAATGTGGGGGGGGGGGCATATATTTGGAGGCCAGATTCAATCTAAGAATCAGTTGGAACTGAAGTTTTCTAACTAGCTTCCCATAACTCAGCTCACAGATGAACTATATCAAGAATGCTGGTTGATGAGAATCAGGTGAGTCCAGATGAGAGCAGCAGCAGCATGAACCACTAGAGCAGGTTGGGCGGGAGCAGGTGGTCTGGCAGCAGTTGGGGTGGCAGCAACTGGAGTTGCACAGGAGGGGCTGCAGTAGCTGGAACCACAGCAGGAGGAGCTACTGCTGCTAGAGATACTGCAGGAAGGCTGGCAGCCGCTGGAAATGCAACAGCTGGGGCAGCAGGTGGCCCTGCCACAGGTTGTATGGCAGCAGATGGGCTACTAGCAAAGAGACTGGCAGCACTGGGGCCTGCAGCAGCTGGACACACAGCAGCTGGGGCGGCAGCAGCTGGACACACAGCAGCTGGGGCGGCAGCAGCTGGACACACAGCAGCTGGGGCGGCAGCAGGTGGTCCTGCAGCAGGTTGTCTGACAGCACTGGGGCCTGCAGCAGCTGGACACACAGCAGCTGGGGCGGCAGCACGTGGGCACACAGCAGCTGGGGCGGCAGCAGGTGGACACACAGCAGCTGGGGCGGCAGCAGGTGGTCCTGCAGCAGGTTGTCTGACAGCACTGGGGCCTGCAGCAGCTGGACACACAGCAGCTGGGGCGGCAGCAGCTGGACACACAGCAGCTGGGGCGGCAGCAGCTGGACACACAGCAGCTGGGGCGGCAGCAGGTGGTCCTGCAGCAGGTTGTCTGACAGCACTGGGGCCTGCAGCAGCTGGACACACAGCAGCTGGGGCGGCAGCAGCTGGACACACAGCAGCTGGGGCGGCAGCAGGTGGTCTGGCAGCAGCTGGGATGGCAGCAGTTCTCCAGGCCACAGCCCTGGTCAGAGCAGACAGAGCCACAACAAGAGTTGACCATGGTGTCAGAGGGTGGAGGTTCTCGATGGGTTTCCAGGAAGGTGGGTTTGGAAGGTTTGGAAGTCTCCTTGCCCCCAGATCCTCTTTTATACCCTGCTAAGGGCCAATGTCATCAGATGCAGCACTCTTTCCTTGTTAGTGTTTGTCCTGATAAGTAGGTAATTATCAAATTAGTCAAATGGTTTGTTTTTCTGGTTACATTTGTCAACATGGAAGAAAGCATTATTTCCTTCCCCTGGTACGTTATGATTCCTCAGGTCAGCACTTCTTGAACAACCTCTTGGGTGTCTCTTGCTGTAGCTTCCTCCTGGAGCTGCCATGTGACATCTGCTTGTAGATACCACGTGCTGCAGCCTCATTTTCCTTAATACATTATGTCTGACCTCGGGTGATTTTGATTCTTCTAGGCCCATAATTTTCTTTTGGTAACTCAGGAGGAGAAAGGTGTGCCTTAATTTCATGGCCTGTTTGTTACGGATCAAGTGGGCAATGAAGGGTTGAATGTGAAACAGGTAACCAGCGGCATGAACACAAATACTATTGGGATATATTCTTTGCCCCCTTCCACGCAATGAATCATAACCGATTCTCTAGACTTTCTGATGGGGAAAGCAGAATTGTTTTAAGGTGGACATCTAAGTCATGGACTATTGATGCTTCTTTTTCTTGAGAAATAACGCTCCAATACTCAGTTTCAGGGACTTTAGGGGGAATTGGCTACAGAGATACACTAAAGGGTTCAGGTCTCTCAGCTCTCTGCCCGAGGGGCTGATTTTCCTTTTGACTTTTCTTCCTTGTCTTGCTGACTTTAACAGGCATCTTGAGTCATCGCCTCTATTTCTAAGGTTTACTTGCTAACCTGAGGTAAAGGGGGATGGATGATGAGAAATTACTTGAAGGGTAGAATGCACATTATTTCAGTGATGGATACTATAAACATCCTGATGTGACCATTATACAATATACCCATGTAACAAGATTATACTTATATAAATTTACATGAATAAAATATTGTAAAGATATCTGAATTGGAAAGGTAGAAGTTAAATTGTTTCTATTTGTGGATGACATGATCTTATATGTAGAAAACCCTAAGGACTTCACTAAGAAACTGTGAGAACTAATCAATTCAGTAAGGTTGCAGAGTATAAAATCAACATACAAAACCCAGTAGGTTTTCTATAATCTAATAGCAAACTATCTGAAAAAGAAATCAAGATAAATATTGTATTTACAAAAGTTACAGTATAATAAAAACTTCCAAACAAATTTAACCAAGAAAGTGAGGATCTCTACACTGAAAACTGTCAAACAAAAATGAGAGATTGATGAAATCACAAATAAATGGAAAGTCCTGTGTTTATGAACTGAAAGAGTTAACATTATTGAAAGATTTTAAAAGCAATTTACAGACTTCATTCACTGCCTATAAATGTTCCCATGACATTCTACATAGAAATAGAAAAAAAAAGTTCTAAAATTTGTACAGAACCACAAATAACTAAAGTAATTTTGAGCACTAAGAACATAGCTAGAAGCATCGCATTTCCTGACTTCAAAATAAGCCACAACACTGTAGTAACCAAAATAGCATCATTGTAACATAAAAATGAACACATAGACCAATGGAATGGAATACAGAGATCAGTAATAAAATCATGCGTTTACAGCCAATTGATTTTCAACAAAGGTGAGAAGATAGGGAAAGGACAGTGTCTTTAATAAATTGTGTTAGGGCCAGGTACGATGGCTCACGTCTGTAATCCTAGCATTTGGAAGGCTGAGGCAGGTGGATCATGAGATCAGGAGTTCAAGTCCAGCCTGGGCAACATGGTGAAACCCCACCTCTATTAAAATACAAAAAATTAGCTGGGCATGGTGACAGAGGCCTGTAATCCCAGCTACTTGGAAAGCTGAGGCAGGAAAATCATTTGAATCCAGGAGACAGGGGTTGCAGTGAGCCAAGATTGTGCCACTGCACTCCAGCCTGGGTAACAAGAGCAAGGCTCTGTCTCCCAAAAAATAAATAAATAAATAATAAAGTGTGTTAGGAAACCTAGGTACCCACATGCAGAAGAATGAAATTAGTCCCTTATTTCTTACAATATACGAAAATCAGTTGGAATCGATTAATGGCTTAAATATAAGATCAGCAACTATGAAACTTTTGGAAGAAAGCATGGGGGTAAGATTCATGACGTTGGTCTTGACAATGACTTTTTGAATATGACCTCAGAGGCACAGGCGATGAAAGAAAAATTAGATGACTGAGATGACATCAAACTAAAAAGCTTCTGCACAGCAAAGGAAACCACAGAAAGAGTGAAGAAATAACCTACAGAATGGGAGAAAATAATTCTCAGAAGAGAAAATACATCTCATAATGGCTTAATATCCAAAATATCTAAGGAGCTCAAACAGCTCAGAAGCAAGAAAAAAAACCTGATTAAAAACTGTCTTGCATGCTCTGCTCATGTACCCCAAAACCTATAATCCAATAAAAAATAAAAAAAAAAAAAAAAAAAAAAAAAAAAAAAAAAAAAGAAAAGAAAGTCCTCTTTCTTTCACATTACGTTGGGCTAAAGCCAAATGTGATTCTACATGCTGATGGTGTTGAGTAATAGCAATATCATAATAATCATTTTAGAAAACAATTCTCTCCCATCAGCTCTTGCTGAACATATTTAGATGCCAGAGATAGCATTAGGGGTGAGAAACATTTGTCCTTTAAAGACTTCAATTTCAAGACTTTGATTGTTCACAGGCTTTATCATTTGTTTTTCATATGTGCTAATCAAATTATTCCAATGTTTTTATTTCTTCCTACAAAAGCCTTCATTTAGAAAACACTTCATATCATCCCCATGCTAATTATTTAATAAGAAAAGGCTTCTTTCAGTTTTCACTTTCTCATCTCTCTTCTTTCAACACTGAGGTCAGGTTTCTCATCTGAAACTTCAATGTGTTCTAACTTTATGTTTCTATAAATTCATACATTGAGGGCATTTCGTTTTGGTCCAGTGTTTTTCCCCTGGGAAGAGAAGGTTGTATTTATATGCCTCTAATAAATGCAAGACTTTGTTCTGCTGATCTTTTCTTTTTCCTCACCCCCTCAGGGGGGTGGCTAGAAATCTGCGCAATCCTTGTTTTAAAAAAATAAAGAATGAAAGACAAAAAAAAAAAAAAAAAAAAAAAATGGGCAAAAGACCTGACTAGATATTTCTCAAAAGAAGACACACAAATGGCTAACAGGTATGTGAAAAGGAACTCAACATTACTAATTATTAGGAAAATACTAATCAAAACCACACTGAGATATCATCTTACTCCTGTTAGAATGGCTATCATCAAAAAGATAAAAGATGGCAAGTTATTGTCAAGGATGTGAAAAAAAATCCCTTCGTTTTCAACAAAATTTTCTTGTCCAGATGTAGTAATATCTACTCTTATCTATTAGTCCCCATTAGTCCCCATGAAGTACAGAATGTCTTATCTCTATTCTCTGTGAATAGAGATAATACATTATGTTCTTTAAATGTTTTCAACAAGTTTAAACCATTAAATGGACAAACATTATTGTGTAATGTGATAATCACTTAGTTATTAAGTAAACAAAAACAAGGAAGCTGGGCAGTATATAAGAGGCTGTGGCCCAAGAACACGTCCAAATTTGAGAACCTCATTCTTCTAGAAACTCACCCAGAACCTCCACCCTCTGACACCATGGTCAGCTCCTGTTGTGGCTCTGTCTGCTCTGACCAGGGCTGTGGCCTGGAGAGCTGCTGCTGCCCCAGCTGCTGCCCCACCTGCTGCAGGACCACCTGCTGCCGCCCCAGCTGCTGTGTGTCCAGCTGCTGCAGACCCCAGTGCTGCCAGTCTGTGTGCTGCCAGCCCACCTGCTGCCGCCCCAGCTGCTGTCAGACCACCTGCTACAGGACCACCTGCTGCCGCCCCAGCTGCTGCATCTCCAGTTGCTGCCGCCCCAGCTGCTGTGTGTCCAGCTGCTGCAGGCCTCAGTGCTGCCAGTCTGTGTGCTGCCAGCCCACCTGCTGCCACCCCTCTTGCTGTGAATCCAGCTGCTGCCGCCCCTGTTGCTGCCTGCGTCCAGTCTGTGGCCGAGTCTCCTGCCACACCACTTGCTATCGCCCAACCTGTGTCATCTCCACCTGCCCCCGCCCCATGTGCTGCGCCTCCTCTTGCTGCTAAACTCTCCTTGTAATATTTGTCATACTATGAATGTCTTCATTAGTCATATAAAATGTGCTGTAGCTAGACAGTCACTGGAAAAATGAACACTTCCCCATCAATTTGTCTCATGTGGCATTCAGAGTGGACATTCAGTTCTAGGAAATGACAGACATAAACACATTCATTAAAATATGTTATGCCAGACCCCATTGCAGTCATTTTTAGATAAGCTGTGTCTTCATTCTAAGAGGACACTAACTGTGATGATCTCATATAATATTGCTTTTATATATTAATAAACAGCCATTTCCCTAATATTGAAATCTCCTGATTTGTTAGTTATTTGACTGCCTGTGCCTGTGTATGTGTGTGTGTGTGTGTATGTATATGTGTGTGTACATGTCTATGTGTGTATGTATGTGTGTATGTGTATGTGTGTGTGTGTGTGTATGTATATGTGTGTGTACATGTCTATGTGTGTATGTATGTGTGTATGTGTATGTGTGTGTGCATGTGTATGTGTGTATGTATATGTGTGTGTGTGTGTATGCATGTCTGTGTGTCTGTATGTGTATGTGTGTGTGTATCTTTACCTGTCACTTCACACCAAGTGCCATCTCTCCTTAAATGCAGACTAGCATGTTTAAGAGACTGGGCCTTGATTCACATTACTTGTATTGGACTCAAGACTCCACTGAGTATTTGTTGTGTGGCATGGGGCAAGTTGTTTAACCTCCCCATACCTCAGTTTTCTTTCTCTGTGAATAGAGATAATACATTATGTTCTTTAAATGTTCAGAGACAAAATTCATGTAATATATTCACCACAGGGCCTGGTACCTAATGCAGTAT